CCTCTCTCTCCTTTCTCCCCTTTCTCCCCTTTCTCCCCTCTCTCCCCTCTCTCCCCTCTCTCTTTTTTCTCCCCTGTCTCTCATCCTCTTACCTCTCTCTCCTCTCTCTCCTCACTTCCTCCTCGCTGCCCGCTCTCTTCGCTCTCTCTCGCTTCTCTCTCCTCCGCATATCTCTCTCTCTCTCTCTCTCGGTCGCTCGACTCCACCCCCAGTACTTCCTTCTTTCTCCGCGAGATGGCGTCCTGGCGGAGCAGTGTGCCTGACAACGCGCGCAGTGTTCCCGCCACGTAAGATACCTTAGTTGCCCCTCGAAAACTGTATACGTTAACTTTGCGCAGTGGCGATATCGTAACCAATGAGGTTTATCCGAGGTGCGATTATTGCTAGTTGAAAACTTTTACCAATACCCCGCCTGGGGGACTTGAAATATAGTCCGCCATGGCAATTTTTGGAAGCCTCTACGGAGGCTAATAAATATCTCTTTCTGCTTCGAAAAGCCGTTCCTGAACTCATGAGGTGGTGCGTGCGGAACCGTGTGCCCATTGTATGGACACCCATCTGGTAGACCCTCCAACGAGCGTTGAGTCTGTGCACGTTATTGTGTTGCTGTGCATGGAGACCGATTAAAATAAATCCAGATCATTATGGGATCCTTAGTGTTTTAATAGAAAGTAAAACATAAATTTCATTGCGACTGTGTCCTAAAAGCGGCACGCACATTATTTTAACACAAATATGAATGCAGTGAATGTGCAGGAAAATTTAAGTAAATTATCTCAGACATGAATGAGGAAAGCACTACTAGGAAAACAATTCTTCGACTAGCACTTGTGCTCGTTTGGTTGTATCATCTGTCTGATTGGACACAGTAACAGTAATACCTACGTCAGTGTTGTGCAGGTTTTCGGTCCGGCAGTGCCGTTCTACTGGACATAGGTTAAGTGTTTCCATTCCAGAACCTGTTTTGGTTATGAACTTCAAGTCAGCTTATTGGCCCCGCTTGCGCAGGGCACACGAAAAATTGGTCAATAGACTCATCAAGTGTCCCCCTCCACGGAAATCTTTAGTAAAAGGCGAAAGATTTATGCGTTTTGAAGGGAGACCAGAGTAACCTTACCGAAGACTTCGCAGCCATATGATGATTGTTTGGAAGGGTATCAGCCGCGCGCGAAAGAGAGCAAGTCTCAGTACGGTGGCGCTATCGCTCGGTGGCGAGGTAGACTTCTTTCAAAGTGCCCCAGCTTAATATCTGAACGCTCGTTCAGGAGTCCTTTTCAAAAACGGTCAAATAAAGTGATATGGTAATTCGTGTTTGCGTGATGGTTTTATAACATTTCTTATGCATATACATATATTTAACCGATTGCCTCGTTAATGTTATAGAACGTAACGTCACTTCTTTAGCTTAAAAAGCCCGGGCTACGATAGGCTCCACCCACCGTTCCGTGCTGCTGGTGCTGCCATCTCCCGACTTTGACCTGTGTTTGACACATTCATGTTGGTTGCAGCAACGCTCTGCTAGTATTTTAAGTTGATACTTGACTACTGGTAAATTGTCTCGTCAAATGTGTACAGTATGTGACACAAGGCGTCTGAATCCGAATTCAAGAGCATAAAGAATTTCTCCTCATAGTTCACTACAAGGACAAAGCTGCCTTAATGCCTTCATGTCAGTGCCCGCACAAGCTCAATTCGTTGGGAAAATAAAAAGACTCCACCATTTCTAGCACAAAATCAGAGAAAATGTCTTTGGTTTTCAACAACTTCAACTTAATTTTATTTATTTAAAATTATCAGACCGTAGTCAAGGAATAAAGCCGGCTGCTTAAGCAAGCGCGTTGTTAAGCAGGTTAAGGCAGGGACGTGCTGCTCTCTGGCGGTCGGCTCGACAATGACGTCGGCGGCTTTCGGGCCGCGTCAGAGACAGCGTGCTCCGCTGCGTCTGGTCGGCCTGAAGTGCGAGTGAGAGGCACGCACCGCGGTATTCGGACGCTGCCCCAACAGCCGCGACGCGGTGTGGCCGACCCACACCAGAGAGCGTATAGAATCCCACCAACCTAAAGCGATCACATTTAACGAAATACTGAGAAAATGCGACATTTCCAGGACCAGAGGCTCTGATACAAACCTCTAGAGAAGTGCGTCCTGGAGCCCGAAGGACCTGTTCCAGGAGCGCCGCCCCCGCCCTGTGGTGCGGGCGGCGAGTGCGGTTCCTGCGCGTAGGGGGTGCCGGTCATGCCGGCTCAGTCGGTCGCG